ATATGCTCTTTTTATTTTGTAAATCCATGGTTGCAGAATTGTCAAGCTGCAGCTAATAACAACATTTAAATTAACTAATAGATTTCTGTTAAACAGGGTAGGGTGCTACCTTTAACTAAATATCTTTACTAATGCAGATGATAGCTCTGAGGGAGTTTACGAAAAAGTTCGTGTCAAGCTCTACATCTCAAAGCTCCTTCCAGCTCCTTAAAAGCTGGAAGAATTTTAACTAGATTTTCTGTAATCTTAATAACATGAAAAAATGTTTCTGAAGACTGCTGTTCATTGCATCATAATCTCTTTAACTGTGTTAAGATACTAAGATATTTTTTAAATAACAGTGTGTGTAATTTGGGGGAAAAAAGGATATCAATATGTGATTATTATGAAAATGAAGAGGCACTAGAAGGTATGGAATTTTTCCGAATCCTTGATGTGTTCAGTGTAGCATTACTAAATGACTGAAATCTAAATAACATTTGGCATTATAATAGAAGAAAATAACTGACTAAGCTAGCCTAAGAAGCAGTGATACTGCACCATAATAAGAAGAGTTTTTCTTCAAGCAGAAGACTTGTTTGTCTGAAATTAGGATGAAGACAATAGGGGCAATTAAAGATATTTATTTATCAGACAGCAGAGCAGAAAATATTAGATTTATGGATACATTTTCAAACGGCATATTTGACAACAATCTTCAGTTGCATAAGTAGCTGTTTTCCAGACTGGACCCTTAGTAAATATGTTCTTTGATATCTCTTAAACCTTCAATTAAACTTAATAATAACAGTAATGATTTTTAAGGTAACTTGAAAGCCTTGATATAGAACCTATCTTGCAGACTCCCATTCTGAAAAGAGAACCTTCAGACCATGCTGCCTGCTTAATTTACATTTTCTACATATCTACTTGTGTCTTTTCATTAGTTGCAATAGTTCTGCAGGCTTGGGATTATATGACAGTACTGTCTTTTGAATAAATTCAGGGTAGCTATTGTTAAGTGTTCAGTAAATGGAATGCCAGCTGTTTTCAAGGAGCAACAGAATAGGAAAAAAAAATCTTTCTTTGGGCAAAACTGTTATCTAAGGGTTACTAGAATTACTGTGTATTTCTCTGTGGTGAACATTTCCTTTTCTGTTCCTAAAAGCATTTTATATCTTTAATACCAGTTAGTAACTGTATGATTACTGACAGAAATAACATATCCCAGCTGCATTTTAGAAGAACTGAGCTGGGACATAGGTCCTTGGAGCTTACTGAATGGGTGAGAGTTTTTAAAGGGAGAAATCAATATTGCAGCAGGATTTACACAATTTAGTAAAATACATATATCAGACAGAACTTTGGTGAAAAAATAACTACAACAGCAATTTAACCCATAGATTTCCTCCTTAGAGTCTGGATTTTACCTGTAGAATCTGTAGCATTTCATTTAAACTCTTATCTGAAAATGAGGATGTTGCTTTCACCTGGTGCCTATAAGGTTGCAAATGTATTTCCACTAAAAGCCTTATTCTACCTTTGTTTTCTAAAATCTCTTCAATTATTATTTTCTACGTCTGACTTTAGACTACGTGTGAGCAATTAAGGAAAATTGCTCAGTTAAGGAAAATTGCTAACATGTAAGTAAAAGTTACGCTTTTTCCTGCATTAATACTTAGGAAGAAGTACATTTTTTAGAGTCAAAGGAGTAAGCAAGCTCATTTCAACTGGAAAATGAGAAGAAGCATATTTTTCTCAAGGAAAGACTTGCCAGTGAATAAATACCTGTACTTGGTTTGTGTGGAAGAGATTAGCATCTGAAAGGTCTGACATGGCAAATGTATTTGCTTAGATCTCAACAGAACATATTTTTAGTAAATGTATTTTCTATGTATGGTTTGACAGCAGACATTAGGACAACTGCCTATAGGCTATAGTTAGATTTGTGTGAGGAAGCCTATACTTTCCTGATAATGCATCCTCTGAAGAAATGTCAGAAGACAAAAAAAAAAAAAAAAAAAAAAAAAAAAGAAGGAAAAAATATTCTATCTCAAAAGAACTGAAGAGTGATTTTGGAGTTTGTAATATTCCGTCAATTCTATATTTTTTATAAAAAAATTTCTTTTCCTATTTACATGACAAAGAAGCAGTAAGCCTGCAAAAAGACTAAGTAAAATCTACGGTAAAATAAGACTGGTACAAGTTTACTAGTCTACAGGAACAAATGTGGAGGAGAATCACCTCTTTCCCACCCTGTCCATTTCAGAAAAGTGTGAATTCAAAAAGCCCAGCTGGAAGTATTCAAATGATAGCATGCACAGCAATTACATTGTTTCTTTGGCTGATTTCAAAACCAAGGAAATTAAAAACGTAAAATTGCATTAACACTTCACTGAACTTCCTTGCAGTGCTGCCCTCAAACAGAGCTAGACTGTGGGAAATTCTATTTCTTACAATATTTTAAAGTCAGTCCACCTTTAAGGCATGAGAGTTCCAAATTTACTCAAATATCATTCTTAGCATCCCCCAGAAAAATTAAACTTGAATGGAAATTTTTCTTGTAAGTATTTTCTCATTGTTTATATGATGCTATTCAAGTTATAAAATATGAGGAACTCGTTATGTGGCTATTAATACATTTGCTGTAAGCTTGTGTTTTTGTAACTTTTCCTGAATCTACATGCCCCTGTGCC